TTCGACTTAAAATGAGCGAGAAATCGTCCGTAAAAGATTAAAGAGGGAAAAATTAAAGGCTTTCAATGAGAGAGAAGATGCTGATGTCATGCTGATGTGGACGGGTTACTCATGGTTACTCACCATAAGGTTACTCACCTGATCCATTCCCGAAGTTAATCATAACTCACACTTTTTCTTTTCTTTGGGGAGCTTCACTTACTATACTCTGATCATACATTCTTAACAACATACACTTTGAATTAAAAATATATACATTGAGCTATAAAAGATGTATACAAATTGAGAAAGTTAAAAAAAAGACTAAATAGTAGTCAATAATGATTAAAGAAAATCATGAATCACTGCTTTAGCCTTTTCGTCACCTCCACCAAATGCATCGGTTCTTGTCGCCGGTGACCACTTGTAAACTGCAAGCCCAAGTCAAGAGGGAAAAAAATGAGTTAGAAATCGAAAAAACCATAGATCTAACACTTAACAACATGTCACCCACAATACATAAATCTTGCAAATATATATACATATAGTCTGGAGAAACCCTTCAAAATAGGGAACGGACAAGATCTGCTACCGCCGCTTCGTAAAGAACACATCTCATACCGTGGGGGAGTATGCAAGCAACAAAAGCGCAATTGCATCTTCGTTGAGAAAATTGAAACGAGAGTGATCAGAAAAGAAGAACAATGATGTATCGAGAAGGAAGAGGACCGACAATCGCATCTATACGGGCTTGATCTTCATCCATTATCACTGTCTCCATGACTGCAAAAGAGAAAAAGAAGAAGGTTGAAGGAGGTGAGTTGGACTAATGTCACAGAAAAAGAAATTAAAATGAAGAGAAGAAGAGAGGATTTCCGCAAGGGAAAAATAGAAAGATGTAGGGGAACGGCAGAGGGGAAGATGTGGAGAAGCTAGGGTTTTTGTTAGGAAAAACTTAAACCAGCGGTTAGGATCTAATCCAAACTGTGATGGCTGAGATTGAACTAGATTATTAACCACTATTAATAAAATAAAATAAAATAAAATAAGAAACTGTGTTATATATTTTTACCCATTACCGGGGACAAGGATTATGAAAATGAAAAGAAACCACGGACAAAATCCTTTTTTGTTCCTGCCTTCCCACATTTTCTTTTAAATTATTGTCTCTACAACATATTTCCAGCGTACACAAGTATACATTTCCATTGCTTCCCCTTTTAGCTATTATTTATAGTTAATATGTTATTATAATATAGTTTTTATTATAATATAATTGAGAAGCTCTTTTATTGCAAACCTAATTCTGTTTATTTTTTATCAAAATTTATCCTACAATTTACATTCCTTATATTTGTTGACTTTCACTGAGCTTGAGCTTTTCAAAACTACAACTTATCATTTTTCAAATAAAGGACAATGAAGAAGCTTGTATTTTAACGAGGTAAGTAGGATAATCTCAAACAAACAAGTATTGAACTAAATATGACTGTCAACATAATTTCAGTCATCATAAATAAATAATGATAACGCCAATTTTTCCTACAAAAGATAGATTTGGTGACAAATTTGTTGTCTTTATCGATGTGGTATAAATTCGGTCACAAATACACAACTACTTGATGAAACATTACCGACAACATTCTGACCAAAAAACAAGCATTACCGACAACAATATTTTATTCGTCATAAAAAGTGATGGCGCCAAAATTTTCCTCCAGATAATGAGTTTAATGACGAGAATTTTCGTATTTACCGACGAGGTTAGCCTTTGTAACAAATACACAACCAGTTGACGAAATATTACTGACGACAATATAATTTTGTCAGTAAAAGTCATCATCAGCGACGAGTTTCATTTGTCGTCGCTAATTTTCGTCACTAATGACAGTCTTTTTTGTAGTGAAGGATGCTTTAACCATCAAGTAAGTTGTTTCCTTCCTTCTGCCGTGTTGGGCTTTTCTTCGTGGATGTGGATTATGGTGATCTCTTGGCCCACGAACAATTCATACTACAATAATGCGAAACTCTTAGCCAAATAAGCTTGTATCTGTGTCTTCAATGCTTTGGTTTGACATCGAGTGATTGGACATCCACTTTGAGAAGCCTCCTCTCACACCAAAGTTAGGGTTGTAATAGCTTTGGCGTGTATTCCCTCACCATGTCCTGGTTGAAAGAGGGCGTTCATGTGTAAAAGGATTGTTGATTTGTCCAATATAAGAGCTTAAATATCATTCTTATTGTGAACGTAAGCAATAACATGCAATCCCCTCTACAATGTGGTCAGCCTGTGAGCTCTTTCGAGCTCATCATGGATTTTTCTGGTTCATTTACCACGTAAAAAATATCATGTCTTGTGATTTTCGATTTTTGTACTGTTGATTTCTTCAAAACGTAAATTTGGTTTTTGATTTTTCATGGTACATAATGGTGAGAATGAGAAATGTTAGAGGGAAATTTTGGGAAGGTGAACATAAGGGGGGGACTTTAAACTTTCCCTCTCGAGATTGAGAAAAGAGTAGGAAAAAAAATTGACAACATTTTTTTAAATAAAGTACATCATCTTCACATTATTCACGGTAATTTAAGGGTGATTACTCATTTATCATGGGGATGCAATTTTGAAAATGAGTGAACTAATTCCCGTGACTAAAATAAAATAATTAACTACTGAAATTGTTCCGTGATTATTGATGTACTTCTTAATACGAGTAAAAACCCCCATTAATAAATATTCATTATTTCATGTTCATTAGTTATTTTAAGTTATATCATATGATTTCATTTAGGGGTCGTTTGGATCAGGAAATTGATTTTGAGGGATTTTTCAAGGATTTGAGCTCAAATCTCTGATTTAAAAACCTAGATAATTTTAATGAGGAATTTGGGCCAATTAACTTGTTTGGTAATACATTAGGAATTTGGGCTCAAAATGTGTAAAGACCATTTTACCCACTTATCTTCTTCCTCCTCTCCCGATATCTCTTGCTGAACGAAACATTGACTGGAACGCCGCCGACCTTGATAATTTGGCGACCGCCGTGACTTCGTTAATTGCCAGTGAACTCGCGGAGGACCGGCGACTATGCTAAGGCTGGTGAACTCACTCAATCCGGCAGAGGAACACCTTGAACCCATTCGACGGAGAGCGGCGCCGGTGAGCATCAGAACTAGAGACGTAGAGCGGCGCCGGTGAGAATCAGATCTGGGAGAAGTTCGCTCACTCTCCTCTTTCTCGACTCTCATCGTCGCAAAGAACCAGAGATGAGAGATGTGGCTGCGCCGGTAGCTCTAGATCTGCCTCCCTTCCCCTCTCTTCGTCGTCGATGGGACCCAGAAATCGATGTTGGCTTCGACAGGAGCTTGGAGTCTGCGGCAGTTTTTGCGAGATGCCCATGACGAAATACCCGAAACAGCCCACCTGGAAAATCCCTCTATCGATTTGAGGAGATCCCCCAAATCAGGCCGCCATTGTTGTTGTAGATCGGGACTAGTCAAACTCCGTTGAAATAGCCGACGAGATGAGCGTCGTAGCCTTGCGAGCTTGCTTGATCTCGTACAGGGACATAAAGGAAGAAGGGAAGGATCGCAAGGAGGAACTGGTATAAGAGGGGCAGAGATTGGGAAAAAATTAAATAAGATGAGGGATTTAGAAATACTTGGGGGTAATTAGCTATTTCAAATTTCTTAACATCAGGGTTTTCAAAATTCCTATTGCTAAAATACCTAATTCTTTTATTCCTATCCAAACGAAGGATTATGATAAAATCCCTAATGACTCGAAATTGTGGTAGAATCCCTGCACAGATTCCCTAATCCAAACGACCCCTTAGTTAATTGTATTTTAAGTTTGTTGGGGCATCCTGTCCATTGATTGCATCTCCTATGGAATTTTAGGTACTATATTGATATGAGATGTCATTTTGTCAATTGTGTTTATAACTTTCTGTGCTAGCCTATCATTTGCTTAGTTCTTGAAAGTTTGGGTGTTTAACCCCATTTTTCCTCAGATAAGAATTCTGCTGGGTATATAGTGAGTGTTCCTAAAAACCATTGATTGTATAGAGAACTAGAGAAGTGAGAAGTGCTTTATCAGCCAAGTCAAGTTGGGATTCTGGTCCAAGTTGGAAGATAGCTAGCCGTTACAGAGAGTTTGGATTTGGTTGGGGGAGCATATGAAAATGAGCTTTCATTTACCATATTCGGATACCACTGGAATCTGGATAGCTCAGGCTATTTATCTAGTATTAGTATTATATTACACAATGGAGAACCCTCCTGACATACACTTTAGTCTTTACCTTTAGCACGACTAGTTATACTTGATCAGTGTCCTCGCTGCAATACATATCACATTAACACACACATATTATACCACTACGCATATATACCTAATTAACAAAAGCCAACGCAGCTTTTGGCTCTTATCATTTTCTCGCTTAACAATTGATCCCACACTGATGAACATCAGGGCCAGTAACCCTGGTGGTAAAGGGATCGATCCTCACCCACAGAAGAGAGAAAATGGAAGCAAGCAGAATGGACCATACCACCACGATGGTTGGAGTCCGATTCTGGCGGCCCATCAGTCCTTTCAGGAAAGGATAGAGATGCAGACTGAGGAACACCACCATTCTCCATCAGTGTAGAGGCAACAAAAACAGCAGACTGGCCGAACCTCTTTTCGAGGCTCATTTGTGACATGAGCAATGACTTCTCGTCATCGAATCCAGCACCTGATATGTTGAGGAAGGAGATGTTATGAAAAGTCATCCGGAGACGAATTTCAACTATCAATCATGTGGCAGGTTTTTAGTTAAAAAGTGTCGTTTCAAGATTGTTTGAAAGCTTTAGAAGGAGTCAAGGAGCAGAATGTAGGAAATGGGAGAAAGATACAAGTAAAATCTACCTTCAACACCCTCTTCAATGTCTTCCAGGCTGAAAACTGGTACAGTAGGATCCACATCCTTACTTGATTTTTTCTTGCCTGCACCCTTTTTACTTGATTTTGAACCCTTCTTTCAAGGTCCACCACAAAGTAGAGACAGAAAACCTTCCTTTTTGTGCTTGGGCTTCAGAGGAGGTTCATAACCATACAAGGCGGTTCTGTTGAAAACACATCCTGTTCCAACATATACAGGACCTTGAATGCCATCTAAACCCCTCAAGTTCATCTGAAAAGTTTCAACATGAAGAATGTCACAGGCTGTTCACAAAACCATAGAAGGCGTAGAAAGAAGCTCTTTTATAAAGTTCATGAAAAGAGAGAATGTACAACAACAATTACCAGTATCATGATAAAAGAAGGCAATGGTGAGGCAAAATGCGAAATATATACAACACTCAATTAAAATCCGGACTTACGTCAAAGAAAACTGTATTTTGGTTAGCATATCGATCACTCTTATCAATCCCATCGAACCTCTGAGGAAATTGAACATAACAGACATGTTTCCCGAGGTTGGGATCCATCAGGAAGCACATAGCTTCTCTTACAGCCTTGTTGTTGTTTATGTATGTTGATAAGGGTGATATAGGTTTCTTTTTTGTGATTAATGTAATACTTAAGGGATTCGAACCTAGGACCTCCAGATTCTAGGCTAGTGGTATTACCACTAGACCAAGTCCTTGTTCGTTTGTTGTTGTTTATGTATGATCACAATCACAATCAAGATTCAACAAGAAAGGCCCGTTTGTCAGCACAGCTGATACACGAACCTGCACCAGTTGGATTATCCACACAGTGAGATGAGCCCATGGAATGAAGAAAAAAGTAAAAGGAGGAACTATTAGCTTCTCGTAGAAACTACTCACAAGAGCATTCATGGCACCAGCTTTCTTGTGGTGTGAAGAGGCATGACGCTTTTCACGAGAAACATAAACTAATCTAGGCAACTCGTTACCCTCGGTATCAAGACCTCCACTTTGACCTAAGAAACCCTGAAGTAATAAACATCATAAGATTCCTTCAAAAAGGAACAATGGTGAAAATCAGAAGATGAACCATGGTGAAAATCAGTTTTTTCCACCTGGATCATTCCAGGATGGTCTCTGGTGTTATTTCCAGGCCACGGGGTACCATCTTGCATGATCCATCCTTCTTCTGGAACTTTTGTTGCCTTGGCCACCAGTCCGTTGATGCGGACTTTAAACTCTTCATATTCTCTCTGTCCACAAGAGGAAGAGGAGATGCAATTAAAATTGATATGCTTCTATTCATGCAAAGCTTATGTAGCAGATGAATAAAATGAGAATGCTTAGCAAGCTACCTTCATTACTCTGCGATGCTTGACAAATGAAGGATGAACTTTATCCTTCAAGTAATCAATCTTCTGTGCAAAGTACCACTCTGGAGCTCGTGGCTCAATGCCGTATTTCTTGCTGAAAGGTACCCATTTCCTTGCAAATTCTGCAATCTCCGATAAAGCTTCAAATGTCAGCATCGCAGCACCATCATCGGACACATAGCAAGAAACCTTGTCAACTGGGTAGTCAACAGAAAGAATGGATAACACAGTATTGGCAGTGACAAGAGGAGGCTCCTTCAGGGGGTCCACTGTACTGACAAAGATATCAACAACAGCTAATTGTGACGGCTCTCCTTCACGGTAGTATCTGTAACCCAGACAGTAAGCAATCAGATTAAAATGGTTCAGCCGCTCTTTCAAAGTCTAATTCTTTTAAAACATGAAAGCTGGGTAGGGGTGATAACGGTACGGTTAACGGGTTAACCGTTTACCGTTTGTTCGGTTTCGGTAATACCGGATCCCACAATTATTCATCCGTTAGCCGTTACCGAAATCATTCGGTATACCGCCAGCCGAACTGTAACGGTGTCGGTATGGGAATCGGTTTCCCGAATTCCCGACATGCATCATGCAGGTCTGTGTCATGCGTGTCTCCGCGAAGCTGGAAAGTGGAATATGACTGAGTGCTTCAATAATTATATGCAGTGCAGATACTAGGGCGGTAGGGGCGTAGACGCGTAGGGCCACTGTGGACTGGAAAGTGGAAACTCACTTCTTTGTCCCGTCCGTGAGTCAGTGACAGTGAGTGACAGTGTCTATTTCCTTTAACAAAAATCAATATTTACTAACACTATGTTCATGAAGGAAGGGAGGAAAAGGAGGGGAGGGTAGGAAAATTTGGAGGGGAGGTTAAGTTTGGAAAGGAGGGAAATTAGAGGGAATTGGAAAGAAAATGTTGTTTAATGGAGGAAAGTGGAAGGGAAAGTGGGAGGGAAAAAATAGATTGGGAATTGTGATATGTATTATATTTTATTGATGATAGAATAGTTAAATAATTTAATTATGTGTTTATACTATTTACATTAATTATGTCATGTGGATCAAATTTGTTCTTCTTTGTTAATTTTGTTAACTATAACAAATCAAAAGTTGGTTATTTGAATGAAATTTGTCAACCTATTACTAAAATTTTGTTAACTATTTTATTGAGTAATAACATAGCAACTAAATATATAAACATACAGCAAATTACAGATACATAAATTGTAAGAGGAGCGTAACAAGTTTTTATATCTCATACAACAGTGTTATGTATCGTGCAAAACAACGTTACGTATGAGGTAAATCATCTATCTTGTTTGGTAGGATATTTTTGTGCCGAAATCCAAGTTACACAGATTTTACGCTTTGGAAATTAGAAGCTTACACTTTTACGCTTCTAGATTATAAAAATGATTCTACGTAGAATCGTGCTTTTCATTTACAAGCGTAGCCAAAATAACTCTTTACAACTTAAAAGCTTACGATTTACGCTTTTGGGTCACCCAAACGCTTCTACGTAGAATTGTGTTTTTGACTGTATTGAATGGTTCTATATGGTTCATGTCATTATCTTAATTATAAGGATTAATACCGATTATTACAAATATTACTTATTCCTATCTATATCTATAACCCACGTCATCTTCTTTTCATTTTAGTTTTGAGTTTGTTGGACCAAAGTAACAAAAATAAATATGAAAGAAAAGTCTAAAATAAATACGTACAAGTAATTAGTCCAAACAAATAACACATAAATTAAAATAATTACACAAGCGAATTGCAAGACATGACTAACGTTTGTGTAGTTGCACTAAAACCCTCCACTTTAAAAAAGGAAACCATCAAGTATTAAAGTAGCTGAAAGAAAAAGAAAAAAAGGTAAAATTGCACAACACAACTTTCCCTCCGATTTGGAGGGTAGCTTGGTACAGTGTTTTTTCTTTTCCTTTTCTTTCCTTGGTTACTGTTCCAGGTCTACAAAAACAGGGGAAAGCATTTGGGAACTTGTGCTTCCCCTCTAATCCCTCCCCTCCCCTCCCCTCCCTTTCCCTCCTTCATGAACATAGTGTAACCATTTCATCTTACCATGGACATGGACCAATTCCCATACAAGGAGACCAAGAATAAGTGAATAACACAGTGCAACGTTTGTGGCTTTACAGAATGACAGTGACATAGGATAGGACATAGGAGCATCATCCTTTGGAAAGAACAACGTTTGTTGGCTTGTCGGCTAATGGAAAAAAATTTGAAATCGAACAAGCGAATTTCGAATAGCAAATACCAAAAAATGAAGATAAAAAATAGCATTATAGTTTTATAGTAGTAAGTACTACGTAGCTATAATTCCAAAGGGAGCAATCTCTGACCTGCTTCTTCTAAATGTTTGAATTAAGTTCTAAAAAAATTATTACGATAAAAAATAGAATCACTAGTTCCTCACTTGCCACTAGGACCTGTACCACCAACATCAACAAAACCTTGTTGCTTCAAAGTGGTGCGAAGGGTATCATCCTCCTCGTCTTGGTCCTCCTCGTCCTCGTCTAAATCTTCCTGCTCTTCATCTTCCTCCTCCTCCTCCTCCTCAAGCACAACAGGTAGCGCTTGTTTGTCACCTTCACTTGGCATGACAGTAGCACTTTCCATTCGAGCTTGCAAGTTAGTAGTGACTAAGTATAATAAAAAATACAAATTGTTAGAATTCATCTTATAATATATTATTGGGAAATGAGTAAAGGAATACTTAAAAATAAATTAAATTATGAATTCTTATTTCTTACCACTTTCATAATCGATTTGGTCTTGATTTTCATCTTCTTTATCATCAACTTTTTCTGCTTTCTTCCCTCCTTCAAACCTTATCCAATCTTCAGCACAAATCAAAGCCTCTACAATGATGGGGCTCAACGAAGACCTAAACGGGCTGAGCACTCGACCTCCACAACTGAAAGCGGCCTCTGAGGCAACAGAGGAGACTGGAACAGCTAGGATATCCTTAACCATCTGGGAAAGAATAGGATATCTAACGCCGTTCTTACTCCACCACAGCAAGATGTCAAACTTCATATCATTATCATCCTCGTTAATAGCATCATTAGCATCTCTTAAGTAGATGTCTAGCTCAGAAAAACCTCGAATCCCCATCTGAAGTTGCTCCTTTCTCATCTTCTTGAATTCAGCCTCAAATGTCCCTCCATAAGATGCAGATCCATCATCAACACTAGGAATGGCCTCAACAGTAGGCTCGGAGGGTTGAGGAGGTGCATACTTCAATCTGTAAACCTCAAACATTGCAGTCATCTCTGCAGTCACATCTTTCACCAAATCATCTCCTTTCTTCTTCCCATACATCTTACCCCACATCCAAGACAAATAAGCCAATTTACGCCTAGGATCTAGCACACAAGCCATGTAAACCAGTCTATTTATCTTTAGGTTCTCCACCTCATCATCATCATCATTCTCAAACCAATATTTTCGTACCTTTGCCTCCATTCTTTCTGTCATCCGATGTATCTCTACATCTATGTCTTTCTTAAAAAGTTCTATCACTTCATAGATGTCAGCAATAGCTTTGAAGAAAGTATGAGCAGTCACATAAGATGTTCCTAATACATCAAAAAATAACAACAAATTATTCACATATTACAAGTTAATAAAAGTAAAAACCATGAATTTGAATAGGTGGAGTTCTGTTCACATACCCGATACCCGTAAGGTGAGCTCATAAAAGAACTTCAAATACTTCATTAGCCGCCGAATACTGCTCCAATCTTCCTTAGTTGGAGGACCTCTCTTTGAGTCCACATAATCCCGAAAAGCAGAATCATTGGGGCTCGCATGCAAGAAGTTAAAAACAAGCTCAAACCTTTCAGCAGATTCCAACATCAAATAAGTTGAGTTCCACCTAGTTGGAACATCCAAAGATACAAGTCTTCTTCCATCCATTTGTAGATATTCAATGGCAGATTTGAACTTTGCACTTCTACCTGGTGATGACTTCACCCATTTCACACAATCTCGAACCCTTTCTACAGCAACTCCAACCTCCTTCAACCCATCTGACACAACCAAATTGATTATATGTGCCACACATCGAAATTGCAAATACTTCCCACCAAGCAAATCTGTTCCCCACTCTTTCATCTTTGTTCTCATACAGTCTATAAGAACATCATTAGAAGAAGCATTATCCATGGTAATGGAGAACAAATGTTGTGCTTTCCAATCTTGTAGACATTCTGCCAATTTTTCTGCAATATCCTTCCCACTGTGACTAGTGATGGGAACAAAACTAATGATCCTCTTCTGCAGCTTCCAGTCACTTCCAATGAAATGAGCAGTTACACACATGAAGTTCTGGTTGTTATCAGAAGTCCATGTATCTGTGGTGATAGAAATTCTTCCTTTGCACTTGGATTTGAAGAACTCAGATAACAACTCTTTTTTCTCCAAAAAGATTATATAACAATCCTGCCTTATTGTCTGTCTTCCAGGTATCACAAACAATGGTTGGGTTACCGCCATAAATCTCTTAAACCCTTCATGCTCAACAAAGCGAAATGGCAGCTCATCCAAGATGATCATTACAGCTAATGCAGTTCTAGATTTTTGTTGATCAAACTTCCATGGAGTAAGAGAGCCTACCTCACCATCACCAGGCTGATAATTCAATAGTGATTGACCACTGGCTGCCTTACTCTTTCTCTCGCATGACAAGTGATGGTTTTTCAAACCAGTAGTCCCGTTATTGATCGAGTGAGCTTTTATCAAAGTTCCACACTGCTTGCATTTACCATATGGGTAGTCATCCACCAGAGCATCATCATAATAATCCCACCACGGGGATCTCTTCTTCCTTCCCGGTCCCTTGACATTTTTCTTGGGCTCACCAACTCCATCCGCTGGCGTAGCAACTGTAGGTGTTGCAGTAGCAGTAGCAGTAGCAGGTGCAGATTCAATGCCTGTGGTAGGTGTAGGTGTACTAGATGAGACATTCCCTTGATTCCCTTCTGCAACTCCAACACGAGTACCCAATTTTTTGGAAGTGGTTCGAGGAGGAACTGAACCACTTTTTTTCGGCCCATCTCCTTTACGAGGACGAGAAGGTTTTGTCCTATAACAAAAAGTAAAAAAACATACAAAAATAAATATCATTAAAATGCCATTGCCGACATGTCAAAAAACAAAAAACACCCAACCATAAACCATTAAATAACTATCTTACATTTTTCACTTTGTTTCTCAAGTAACAAAAAACCAAAAACCACCCCTTGACTTTGTGGGGATCTGCCTTCTGCTTCACCTGCAAGCAAGCCTAAATCAACAAAATTACA